TAAGTATGGAGAGAGAAAGGAATAAAAAAAAAGAGGATGTAGGTCGTGGAGTAAATTTCCATAGCACAATGATGTAACGAACAGACCACAGTAAACAGAAAGACGAAGGGGGCTTTCTGCACACACACACACGTATCTCCTCTCCTCCCCTCCCTTCTTTCCTCTCCCCTTTTCCCTTCTCTTCTCTCCTATCCTCCCTTCTTTCCTCTTCTCTCTTCCCTTCTCTTCTCTCTTATCCTCTCCTCCCCTCTCCTATCTCCCCTTCTCCTTTATCTTCCCTTCCCCTCTCTTCCCTTTTCCTCTCTCCCTCCCCTCTCCCCCTCCTTCCCCTCCCCTCTTCCTCTCCTTCCCGCCCCTCTCCCCCTTTCTTCCCCTCTCCTCTCCTCACCTCTAGTCCTCTCCCTTCCCTCTCCTCCTCTTCTACCCTCCCCTCTCTCCTCCCTTCTCCTCCCCTACCCTCTTCTCTCTCCTCTCCCTCTCTCTCTCTCCCCTCCCTCCTCTCTCCCTCTCTCCCCTCCTCTCTCCTCTTTTCCCTCTCCTCTCCTCTCCTTCTTCTCTCCTCTCTCCCTTTCTCCCCTCTCCTCTCTCTTTCCTCCTCTCCCTCTTCCTTCCCTTCTTTCTCCTCCTCTACTCCTCTCCTCCCCCCTTCTCCTCTCTAATCCCCTCTTCTCTTCTCTCTTCTCCTCTCCTCCCCTCCCCTCTCCCCAGTTCCTTCCCCTCTCATCTCTCCTCCCCTTCATATAAACGTAATACATAATCATTTATAAGGTAAAAAAAAAAAAAATCATCATGCATATTTTGAAGGACGAATCTTTTAGACAAATTCAACCTCGATACGTAAGAAATCAAAGATAATTCCTACATTCACTTATGAAGTAAAATACACAATAAAAGACGCGATATCACCAAAAAAAATATCCGAAGCTTATGACGGTATTACAAGATTGCCATGATACAACGAAGCTGATAAGAAGGTGCAGTGGTGTTGCGGGGGATAAGTCACTGCATTTGTTTTCTTATGGGGATGGTGTGAAAAGCATGGGTATTGTCGCCTGGTGTTTTTTTTAAGCCGTTTGATAAAAAAAGTAATCAAGCAAAGTGGATTAAGTATTAAGGGTGATGTCGTTAAACGTCTTAACATGCACGCACGCACACAGACTCAAAGACACGAACACATACACACACATACACAGAGTCAGAGATGTGCACGTACAAACGCACAGACACGCATACAAACACACACACAAACGCGCACTCTCCAAAGACACACAGACACACACACAAAGACACGCACACACACACACGTTCATATATGCATGTGTGTGCAATAATTAAATAATGATAATGATAATACTAACGATAAAGATAATAATGTTTGTTGTTATTGTTATCATTATTATCATTATTAACATTATTATCATTATCATTATTATTGTCAATTTCATTATCCTCATCCTCATCATTATCATGATCATTACTATCATCATTATCATATCAGAATATGTGTAACACCAATGTCAACTAAAGAGATATACAGAGAAGAATGTAAAATGTATCAAGCATGATAACTTATATTCACTGAAATCAAGAATCCAGAGATTTTTCGTTGAGCTTCTGCAAGAAAGATGTACACGTGTACACAGGCAGGTATACACACATAACGTACACAAACTCACACGCACACACTCCCACACACACACAATTAAACAAATAAATAAACATATACTTACGCATGCACTTGCAGACACATGTGTGTAACAGAATGTAAACAAAAAATCAAGTTGAGAATTAGGTCCTTCGCGATATAAAACAGCTGTCATAATATAGGGAAGCCAATGTGTATGTTTGTGTAAGTGTGTATGAATGTGTGTGTGTGTGTGTGCGTGTGTGTTTGAGTGTGTGTGTGTGTGTGTGTGTGTGTGTGTGTGTGTGTGTGTGCGTGTGTGTTTGAGTGTGTGTGCGTGCGTGTGCGTACGTGCGTGCGTACGAAAAAAAACTACACCCACACCCGCACACACTCGCATCCCCACCCGAAGCGAATGCCTTCCTATGCCTCCCCATCGCCCGACCTCGAGGGGGAGACCAAGAGCCAACATCCAAAGCAGGCATTCCGGACGAGTGAGCGAGCTGCCTTTCTCATCCTCCGGAGACTCTGCGCAGACGAGCCGGCAATTGTTTTGACATCTGGGTGACCGGGGGGGGGGGGGGGGCGTGGCGCGGCGAGGGACTCACGCCGATGGAATCTGGTGCGGCTGATATGGATTTGTTGTTATATAAAGTCTATATATATGTATCTATCTATCTATCACACACACACACACACACATGTACTATATATATATATATGTGTATATGTGTATATGTGTGTAATGTGTGTATATGTATACACACATACACACACATGCACGCACGCACACACAAACACACGCACGCACTGACATACAAACACTCACACACACAGAGACACACATATATGTACACACACATGTATATACCCATG